AGTCTAGGGACAGGGGAGCAAGGTGCAAAGAGACAAACCCTGCATGCTTTCTGACAAAGCAGAGTATGGGTAAATTTATTCTTTGTTACTGTTAGAGGTGTTCAGGTTGTATGAAAACCTGCAAAGCCCCAACCTTGGCTACAACAAGCCTGAGGAGTGTGTGGGATTACATTGTTATTCAGGTTTCTTTTATGTCTGCAAAGTTGTGAGTGTAACCTCGATCATGCTAGGGACTCTATTGTTGAGACCATTTTGGTAATGAATACTTTCATTTATTAAAAAAATTATTAATTATGTATCAGTCTTTAAAACTAAGTATTTAAGGGAAAGAAAAGCCAAACACTCACCAAATGCTAAGTTGTGTTCTATGGTCCTAAAGTCAGAATATATTCTTGTCAATTGAGAAAGTATAAAAATTAACTACTTCTAATAACAAAGCTTTGAAAGAAAATCTGCATTTTGTATAAAGGTAGTTTTTCCTTTCTGCATGGGAGGAGAGAAACATTGATGCTTTTATTGTTAACATAACACTTACTGGAAAACAATGAATTAGAGACAAAATTGTAGCCTTTATCATAAGTTTCCTGGATGCCCGTAATAGCTGAGCTAAGTCTCTGATGCATTAATTGCCCAAGAATATGAGAACTCAGCCATATCACATTTATTTAGCAGTTGAATTCTGTTTGGGAAGAGAAAAATTTCTACAATTTTGAAACCTACATTTAGTTTGAAAACATATTGTGAATTCATATATTTTGTAAATTAATGAATTACATGATTAGCGCCCCTTGACCAGCAAAATTTATGTCCATTGCAATCCAATTCAACTAATATGTTAGACCAAACAATCTTAAATATTTATAAAATATTTTAACTTTAAAAAAATACTTAAGATACATCATTAAGATTTCTCTAATAGGCAAATTCTTGGAGATAGCAAGCAAGTAGATGAGAGGTTACTAGGGGCTGTTTTGGGTCATGAAAAAGTTTTGGAAATAGGTAGTAGTGATGGTTGCACAATTTTGTGAATGTAATTCATGCCACAGAATTGCACACTAGCAAATGGTCAAATGACATTTTATATTATACATATTTTATACAATAAAAATAATAATCATTTAAGATAAATAAATGAGAATGATTCAAAGTCTTAAATGTCTACTCTCAGCATTATAATACTGTATTTTCTTTTAGAAATTCTGGCCTCTGACATATGACCAAAAATAAATACTAGAAAGTTAAGATCAATTTAGCAATGTTTGTGATAATATATTTACTTTTAGAACCCCACTGAATTCACTCAAGAATTAAGTTCACCAGTAAATAAATATATAAAAATAATGTTTTTATGTATGTGTTATGAAGAATTTTTAGAATGCATATTGGGATAAAATGGTCTTAGACAAATAGTATCAAAGTATAAAATTCCTTTGAGTAAACCTAACAAATTATGCAGAATCTAAATGAAAAATACTGTAAAGCTTTCCTGAGGAGGTTAAAGACGACAAGGAAAATTGAAGAGATACATGTTTCTAATGGAAAGATTCAGTAGTAAAGATGTAAATTTCACCCCAAATAATCTCTAAACTTATTAAAATTTTTATCAGTCTCAAGCATATTTTTTAAGCTCACCAAATTATTTTAAAGTTTGTCTCAAGATATAAATGGTTAAGAATAATCAAGAAAATACTGAGAACGCATAAGGAGAGAGTTCTACATTCCACTAAATTAAAATATACGAAGTCATCATGAAGAATATTTTTAGGTAAATATGCTGAATATTTTTTAAGCAGTATAAAAAAGTATGTCTTTTTAATGGAATAAAATCCTATGTGTACGTATGCCTACAGAAAAGATAGTCTCTACTGTTAGCGCCTGAGTATATAAATTTCTGTTTACATTCTATTCTACAAAATGAGATCATAGCTTTATAACCTACTTTTTTCCTCACCTGTATCTTATAAACATTTTCCTATTTTTTAAAAAATATTTTTCTATTAGATGACTTTGGTAACTTTGTAATTTTCCATTATATAGGTATACCTGAATTTACTTAATCCATTGTTTTTGGAACATTTAGATTGTTTCTAATTATAAATATTATCTATCACATCCTTCCCTGTGACTCTTTCTGCACAGGTGCATACTTCCTTAGACTAAATGCCCAGAAGCGCAATAGCTGGGTCAAATACTATACACATACAGTAGTGCCCACCCCCCCCGGCCCCAGCACACACACACACTTTTATCCATGGTTTTGCTTTCCTTGGTTTCAGTTTCCCATGGTCAGCTGCAATCCAGAAGCAGATGATCCTCCTTCTGGCATATGTCAGAAGGTCAATACTAGCCTAATGTTATGTCACAATTCCTACATCATTCCTCTCACTCAATCTTATTGGTTTGTGATAGCTATTTGTATATCAAGGATATTAACATTTATAGCATATGTCAAAAATATTTTTTAGACTTTATTGTTTGCTTTTGCATTTTGTTTGGTGTTTCCAGTTTTAAAAGAAGTAGAAATATTTCCATTTTTCCTGATTCCCCGGTAGTGAATCATATCTAATGGTAGAAAATGTTCACACTTTGCAAAAATTACAGCAATAATGGATTTTATGCTTGAGAAAAATCATACATGTAACTTATAACCATCTAAGATGAATAAGTTTTACCACTTTGACTTTAAATTATTTTTTTTCCTTATTCTTCAGCAATTTCTATATATCTGGGAGCTCTATCTTGTTGATTATACTTGAAGGAAGTAAGCAGTACAATAGAAATCCAATTTTTCTGAATAGAAAGGTTCCACTGGCTGATCTATAATGTCAGTAGATATCTCATATCAGACCCTTTTCAAAATCTTAAATCTTGAGTTCAAAGTCCTCACTTATGTGTTGACAATAGCTTTCAGGCCTATCAAGACAAGAATAAACACATTTCTGCTCTTTCAAGCTACAGAATCATATTCTTTATATCTGTTAACATACTTTTTCAAAGGAAAAGAACTTTGTTTCCAAAAAAAAAAAAAGCCCTTTTTTATTTAATTCCATTGGGATGGTAAGAACAAAAAGACTTCCAACTTAATGGTATATCTTAATTCCTCAAGAATGAGGAAGAAAAATAGAGGAACTGAAGTGGAAAGGGGCAACATAAAAAAAAAAAATCCCTCTTGGATGATGTTCAGGGGCTTTTATAGTGCATACCCTGGCTTTATTTCACAGTGAGTGCAGAGGTTTTAGATCTATTCCCTGGTCATTTAGGAGACTCAGAGTTCCATTTTAGATGCCATTAAGAGTAATGGTTTACACATCTTACTTGTCAGTCATTGTCAATCCAATAACATTTATCACAAACATGTTAATTCAATCAAGTTTGCAGTAAAATGAAATAATTATTTCCTGATAGCTGTTATTACCATCCATGGTGAGAGAGATTGTTAGTTTATTTCCATGTGATCAATTATCTATACAGACAGGCATAAACCTAATCAACAAAAGTTTGATGTTATTATTACTCATAGATACAAAAACTTTACTCCATAATCAATATATTCTATATGGCGAACTCTAACATTGGTAGTAAATGAGCATATTCTAGGCTTATTGCAAGCATTGGTATGCATATTCTAAAAGAAGAAAACTGTGAGAAAGCCAGTATTCTATAGCCATTATGGCTATGAAAATCTTTCCTGCAATTGTCAGATGGACTCTACACAATGATAAAACTATTTAGAAAACTGTTTCTATGCTATCTGGAGTTTTGTTCCCACACTGCTAAGCAGAACTTTATCCCTATGAGCTGGAGTCAACCTTGTAGGAGGACTCTTTTTATCTAAGAGGAGACAGCCTCTAGCATGCTCTTCCCTCTCCTGGAATACTCTTCACCTAAATAACCACTACTCATCCCTCGAGTCTGTCCCTGTGTCTAGGAGCCTTCTTTACTCTATCCACTGGGCTGGATGCCCCTTTAGATTTGCTGTTTAAATACCCTATCTTTCTTAACATGTTTAGCTTCATTGGTAGACATTTTGAAAGAGTGTTTACTGCCCATAATCCTCATAGCAACATTTCTGCTGGTTCCCAAGTTCTCTTTTGTTAAACTGAGCTGGGTCAGGAGGCAGGGTTCAGTACTTGGTTACCTGAAAAACCAAAACATTTTGGATTGGACAAAACCAGAAAAAGAGCCCCCACTTCTGTCTGTGAGATCCTATACCTGCCCTTCGCCCTTTCCAGAAACTTCCCTCAGGCACTTTGCTTTTGAGTATCTTATTACTACAACTTTTAGGCTAAATCATAGCCTTCTATTTCTAGTTGTTTTCAGAATAGGGTATGGCCTGCAGTGTGTCTAAATTCTGTGGTAATGAGCCATCATACAACTGAAATTCCATAGTTATGTTTAGATTGGTTCCCGGAGTTAAAGCTGAGCCATCTCCATTCACCACATTTGTGTTTACAGACGGTCCTCAACTTAAAATTGTTTGATTTAGGATTTTTCAACTTTAAAAAAGCCAAATGCATTCAGTAGAAACTGAACTTTGAATTTTGAATTTCTTTCTGGGCTAGTGATATGCGATAGAATATTTTCTCATGATGCTGGGAGGTGGCAATGAGCTGCAATTGCCAGTCAGTCATGCAAGGATGAACAACTGATACACTCACGATTCTGTACCCATACAACCATTCTGGTTTTCACTTTCAGTAGAGTATTCAATAAATATATGAGATACTCAACACTTTTGACCCTGGGAGGCTAGGAATCTGGTTGTATCATTGCTAATATGGGGAATGTAGGAAAAATAGAAAGTTTATGGAGGAAACTTATCTTTGGAACACACTGAATTTGAGGTGCTAGAAGATCCCGGCTATTAGAAATGTGAGCTACAGTTCAAGAATAATGTCAGGACTGCATCACATATATTGGCCATGGTGTCATCCCTTTTGGTAGCCTGGCTCCTTTTGTCCTTCCATAAATGACACATAGGTTAATCATAGCCAATCTTTTCTTTAGAAGATGGAACATCTTACAGATAAGAGCCTTTGACTTTCTTTTGGAATAGTCTGGGGGCATCAGTTTGTCACCACCTCTGACGTTCTATGATACATGCCTTATATAGCCCTTCTATTTAAGTCTTGGAACTTTTAGTCATTTTAGAAAATAAATAATACATTCCCATGATTGGGGAAACTGAGACCACATAGGGGAGTTGGCAAGTTCATACATCCAATTACCAGCATTCTGGTCCCTAGTCCTCTGCTTTCCCCACTGGAACGAATGATACCTTCCAGACCCAGCAAGTGGGGGGACAACCAGGTAACTTACTGTTTCCATCCAATCTCTCTAGTGTAGCTTGTTACTGTGCATTTAGAATTGTTCTTTAAAACCATTTTGCATTCTTTGGGTCTCTTATTTACTGTTGATTCCTTCTGAAGTTCTGAGCTTTAAAACTGTTGCTTTTCTTTCCTGCGTTCTTGAGAGTCTAAATATAGTCGCTTCATGTTCACTTCTACCAAGAACCTTGTCGGTGTTTGTTACAGCCTGTAGTTTCTTCTCACACACACCACACCCAGTTCTCCCTTCCCAAATAAATGTTTGTTTCGTGGTAATGGTTTTAAGGATCACATAGGTTGTTAACTGGAAAGGACTGTTGCATAGAAATTTGTCTGTCGGCCTTCATGGGGCCCTTTTACCCCAACGACGCTAACGGATCTTGTCCATCACCAGCCTCTTCTGTGAAGGACGATGAGCGGCTTTCTTAGGGTTGGTGAGGGATGGGCACAGATTGGAAGAACAAATAATTAACAAACAAGATCTTGTTTATAACATTAAAGGCTACCGGGCATCATTCAAAACTATAGTAATAAAGGTTCATCCAGCTAACCTCATACAGTTCAGTTAAGTGTTCTACAAGTGGACTTCACCTTACCATTGTTGGAATTAATGCTTCTTATTTTCGGTTTGTTCCTTGTCCTACCTTGAAGATGCCTTGAACCTTCGAAACCGACAGGTCATCTGCGTCACCCTTAAAGTCCTCCAGCATCTGGTTGTGTCAGCTGAGATGGTGGGTGAAGCTTTGGTGCCCTATTACCGGCAAATCCTCCCCATCCTGAACATCTTTAAGAATATGAATGGTGAGTGATCCCAGGAGTCAAGTGTCTTTTAAGCCCTAAAAAAAGGGAGTGGTTTGAAGTGGAGTTAATTAGCAACACATTTAAGATTTATTATTGCTTATAAACCAAGATCCATTTGGAGATCTAAATAGCATAACTCCCACTCTTCCCCTGCTACTCCCCGGAGAAACAGTAAAATTAACAATTTCATTTATTACTCCTCACACGTACAGCTTACTTACTCAGTACAGAAGTGCTGAAGCAGTTCTATAATCTTCCAATAATTAAATTGTAAAGTTTTTTTTAATAGTCTTTTGAATACATTAGTAGGTTTTGAGTTTGTCCTTTCTCTTGGTAGTAATTCTACCTTTAGAGAGTTTCTGTTAAAATTGCAGTCTTATTAATTGGTTTAAGATGAATTTTTAAAGCAATATTATTAAAATATGGCTTGGGGAGTTTTAATCTATGTTCTCTCATTTCTAAAAAAAGAAAAATCGATAATTTGTACCTCTTTAGTTGATGGTGAGTGCTGATTATAAATATATAGGTGCTGATGCATTTATTTGTTTTAATTATTCTATAAGCTTTGGAAACACTGGTGAGCTCAGTTGAATCTGCTTTACCCTAACAAAGGTACTAGCAAGTTGTGGTGATCTCTGGCAGGCAGTGGATGTATATTTGTTCATTGGGAGTGTGATTTTCCTTTTATTCCTCCTGAAAAGATGGGATTCTAATTTTCTTTTATGTTGCTGACTTTAAATTTCCATACTTCTCATATGCACAGCGTTAAATCAACATTTGAAATTAATTCCTGACAGTCATGTAAATAAGTTAGCAATCTAGTGGAACACTGCATGAAAATTTTGTGACATGATCTGCTCATGTACATACAAGAAAAAAAAAATCAAACAAAAAAACTGAGTGTTCCTGCCACATACAACTCCTTTGTTTGGAATCACTATTTTTTATATTATTCATAAATTGCTATTAAAAGTCTGGTGAATCAGGCAGACTACTCAGGAAATCATGGAATCCTCAGAAAGTCTTTAGCTGTCGTTCAATAGTAGGACCTACTTATATACTGAATATTAAATATATTTAGTAAAAAGGATTTCACCTGGAGTTATGGGAGCTTAAGAATGCTCATAATGGAGTGAGTTAATATCCATTCCAAAATACCTGAATGGCAGAAGACTTAATGGGGACTTTGAGACAAGTTTCAGGAAACTAAAAAGCTGGGTGTTAGTAAGTGAATCTCCTATGATCTAATAAACTTACAGCTTTAGTAACAGCATTTCTACTTTATGGAAAATACTTATTCAAGTATTTTTTTATTCAGACTTCCTGTTTTTACTGTATAGCAGCATCGAATATCCTTGGGGTTATAGAATGACTCTGTGCATGCACACCGTTCAGTTATGGTTCATTAAAGAAGCCCTAAGTTCGCCCATCGTATCTAGCCTCCAGTTAACTGGAGAGAGACGTAGAGATGGCAGAGAGAAAGAGGACAGAGATAGAGAGATGACAGAGAGTTACTTAAAACCTGGAAAAATCAAAGAACAGCCACCCCCAGAAAGTCTCAGTTGTAGCTAACGTTTTTCAAGTGTGTGATTAGTAAGAGTCTCTCCTCAATAATCCTCACGGAAACCTATAGTAACTGTGGTATTGCTATGTCCGTGTTTTCATCGTAAAAACTGTCTCTCTGGAACTCCTCTCCTATATAAGCATGTGCTTCTGTGCTTGACCGTCATGGACCATGAGCTCTAGCACACGTCTCCCCTCCCTCACTTGAGTAAGAGCCGGTGGCTCCTACAACCCTGGGCTTTTGGTGTCCCACAGTAGAATCTGCAGCTTGAATCTAAGCATCATTTTGTACTGTATAAAAGAAGAAAACCAGCGATGTTCAAAAGACAACTAGAATCACCCTCATCCTCAAGGAAACCTGTAAAGAAGAGTAAGTTCAGCCACCACAGAGAGAGAAATCACTAGATTATTAAACAAAAGCAGTTGGTTTTTACATCTTTCTCATACTTTTGATTTAATCCTTTAACTCACAGATGTTCACATGCTTAACAAAAGAAAAAATTGGCTTTAGGAATATATCCCTGTTTAGATTTTATCAATGTGCAAATTTGTAATTTATATCCTAGCCTTAACTGGTTCCAAACAAAGTTAATTATTTTGGAACATTTCGAAATTCATGCACGAGGAATTCTACATTCAACTATTTTTCTGCTTAATATCTTTCTGACATTTGAGGGGGAAAAATACTAGCTTCAGCTTCATTTTCTACTTATCTTAGAAACCTGTCAGTACAACGCCAGGATGCAGTAAGCTGGATTTCCAGAGGGTCATATTACAAAATTGGAACATTCTAGCTATAAAACTTAAAACTATTCTCCAAAGTGGCTATGTTTCCATAGATCCAATTCTACCAGAAGAAACATATCACACAGGATTTCCAATTATAGTAGTATATTTACTATAGAAATAATTTAACTTTAATAGCAGTTTAATAAATCCTGTTTTGTAATTATAGGTAGTCATAGTCACAGACCATATATACTTACTTTATCTAAGCAGATGTCTTTAGTACCAGTTATATTTATAAAGAAAATTATATTAGAAATGTATAGCATGTAACATTTGAAAAAATTCATCCTTAATTTCAATGTATTTAAAACAATTCCACAGATTTCTAGGTTTCCTCTTTTCCCTGCTTAACTTTCACACAAATCAATGTCCTGTTAAATTCAGGTTGAAACCTATTTCTTTCAAGCCCCACCACAAAATATTTGTTTAGGATGAGACCAAAGATAAGTGCCAGAAAGAAAGAATGAGAGAATAATCCTTCAAACGTAATAACCTTGTCCTCTGTCCGTGTTCCCTCCACGTGCAAGCTTTAGCTTCATTCCACTGCCTGCTCCTTTCCTGCAATTTCTGTCCTATTTTAATGTCAAATGGACTCTGTTGGAAATGAGCAGTGGGGCTGAGGAAGCAGGCACACACTCCAAGGGGCCTTGGACTTGGAGTCTTCCCGGAGGACCAAAGGGAACCAAAGAGGGGGCAGGCAGGAGTGGGTAGCATTGGCAGTCCCGACCTATGCCCCGATCTACACTGCTATAGGTAGTCAAACTTAGAGCAAGCCCCACGAGATTATTCCTGTCTGGAGAGTAAGAGTGGCTTTGTGTTACTCTTTATGCATAATATTTTTTACAGGGTTTAATTAGGCTAAATTTTAAAAGTTATATAAACAACAGAAGTCTAAGATGAAAGTTGTAATGTGGAGTGGTGGAACATCTAGAGTCAGATGCAAATTATGTAGCTTCTCTGAGCTTACATTGCTTTTAAATTCTTCTAAATCATCTGTACAACATAGAAGAGCATCCTTTTTGTATGGTTGATGTGACAATTAAAGATAATGTGTCCATAAGTTCTTCGTGTACAGCCTGGCCTTGACTGGGTGTTAAATGAGACCGCCATCTTTATCATACGACATGATATACATGTACAATATTATATACATATAATATTATGATATTATATACAGATATTGCAATACTATATAAATTATTATATCACAATATGAATAGATGATTGAGTGTATTGGGCCCCCTGTTGGGTAACTCATCCCTTTAGCCCTACTGTGAGCCTATGAATGGGGTACAGATTCCTGGTTTTCAAGCGGGGGTGATCCCTTTGCCTCAAAGGATTCATCTTGCCTTTGATTGCCATATGCCAGGTGGGTGACCAAATAAGTTTTTTTTTTAAATTTAATTTTATTATGTTATGTTAGTCACCATACAGTACATCATTAGTTTTTGATGTAGTGATCCACAATTCACTGTTTGTGTGTAACACCCAGTGCGCCATGCAGTACGTGCCCTCCTTAATACCCACCACCAGGCTAACCCATCCCCCACCCCCTCCCCTCTAAAACTCTCAGTTTGTTTCTCAGAGTCCATAGTGTCTCATGGTTCATCTATCCCTCTGATTCCCACCCCCCTTCATTTTTCCCTTCCTTCTCCTAATGTCCTCCATGCTATTCCTTATGTTCCACAAATAAGTGAAACCATATGATAATTGACTTTCTCTGCTTGACTTATTTCCTTTAGCATAACTCCTCCAGTCCCATCCATGTGGATGTAAAAGTTGGGTATTCATCCTTTCTGACGGCTGAGTAATATTCCATTGTATGTATGGACCACATCTTCTTTATCCATTCATCTGTTGAAGGGCATCTCGGCTCTTTCCACGGTTTGGCTATTGCGGACATTGCTGCTATGAACATTGGGGTGCATATGGCCCTTCTTTTCACTACATCTGTGTCTTTGGGGTAAATACCCAGTAGTGCAATTTCTGGGTCATAGGGTAGCTCTATTTTTAATTTTTTGAGGCACCTCCACACTGTTTTCCAAAGTGGCTGTGCCAACTTGCATTCCCACCAACAGTGTAAGAGGGTTCCCCTTTCTCCACAACCTCTCCAACATTTGTTGTTTCTTGCCTTGTCAATTTTTGCCATTCTAACTGGTATAATGTGATATCTCAATGTGGTGTTGATTTGAATTTCCCTGATGGCTAATGATGATGAACATTTTTTCATGTGTCTGTTAGCCATTTGTATGTCTTCTTAGGAGAAGTGTCTGTTCATGTCTTCTGCCCATTTTTTGACTTATTTGTTTTTTGGGTATTGAGTTTGAAAGGTTCTTTGTAGATCTTGGATACTAGCCCTAAAGACCCTGAATCGCCAAGGAAATGTTGAAAAAGAAAAACAAAGCTGGGGGCATCACATTGCCTGATTTCAAGCTATATTACAAAGCAGTGATCACCAAGACAGCATGGTACTTGCACAAAAACAGACATATAGACCAATGGAACAGAATAGAGAGCCCAGATATGGACCCTCAACTCTATGATCAAATAATCTTCGACAAAGCAGGAAAAAATATGCAATGGAAAAAAGACAGTCTCTTCAATAAATGGTGCTGGGAAAATTGGACAGCCACATGCAGGAGAATGAAACTCGACCATTCTCTAACACCATACACAAAGATAA